AACCCCGAGCCACAAAATGTGTGTTTGTTGGTTATGCTCCCACTCAAACGAGGTATAAATGTTTTGAACCCATTTCCTAAAAAATGTTTGTTACCATGGATATTACCCTTTTTTAATTACATCCCTATTTCACACCTCATCTTCAGGGGGGAACCAAAACAAAGATTCGGCTGTTTTTCATGATTTTTTCCAACTGAAGACTCGCAAAATGATCCTTCTCCAACTTTGATTATTCAACCTGAAAACCCAAGCTTTATTTTACCAGGAGAAAATGAGTCGAGTTTTTTAGATACTGAAAAGGCAGGTCTTCCTACAATGCCATCTTATGATGTTCATGATCCTATAATGACTAATAAAGGAGAAACAGGAAAAAGAAACACAGCGTTGGTACCATTTAACCTTGTCTACTCGCGACAGAGGACAACTCGAGAGAAAGGGTCTTCCAATCCTTTGCACTGCTCAGAATCTGTAAACCCTCCAGATAATTTCCTCACCGAGCTTTTACCTCATGTTCAGCCCATTTCATCTTCGAGTTCTAAGTCCTCTAGTTCTGAACCTGGGTCTAATTCCAATCCTGAGTTTGATGATTCTGAAATTCCCATTGCTGTCCGGAAGGGTATGAGGTCTTGCACCTAGTATCTACTGTCCAATTATGTGTCATATGAACATCTCTCACCTATTTTTTGTGTTTTTACCTCACAATTATCTTGTATGGAGATTCCTAATAATGTGCAGGATGCTCTAAAAATTCCTGAGTGGAAGGAGGCTGTCTTGAGTTTGTTGATCTACCAAGAGGAAAGACAACTGTAGGGTGCAAATGGGTGTTTACAGTCAAGTATAAATCTGATGGCTCTCTAGAACAGTATAAAGCTCGATTGGTTGCCAATGCATTCACTAAGACCAATGGCATTGATTACATGGAGACATTTGCCCCAGTGCAAAGCTAAACTATGTAAGAGTTCTTTTGTCACTTGTAGCTAATCGTGACTGGCCTCTGTAACAGTTGGACGTAAAAAATGCATTCCTCAATGGAGACCTGGAGGAAAAAGTGTACATGTATGTACCTCCAGGATTTGGTGAAAATTTTAGCACAAAGGTGTGTAAATTGAAGAAGTCCTTATATAGGTTGAAACAGTCACCAAGAGCCTGGTTTGAGAAATTCACTCAGTTTGTTAAAAGCCAGGGGTATACTCAAGGGCAAGGTGATCATACGATGTTTATAAGACATTCACAGGATGGGAGGATAGCAATACTGATTGTGTATGTTGACGATATAATTCTCAGTAGAGAAGACGTACTTGAGATGAATTGATTAAAGACTTCCCTCTCATCAACATTTAAGATCAAGGACTTAGGATCTCTAAGGTATTTCCTTGGAATGAAGGTTGATCGGTCGAAGAAAGGGATTGTTGTCTCCCAACGGAAGTATGTCCTTGACCTCTTTAAAGAGACTGGGATGAGCGATTGTAGGCTAGCAGACACTCCAATCGATCCCAATTAGAAACTTGGAGATGACAAGGAAGGTGGTCAAGTGAATACAACTCGGTATCAAAAGTTGGTGGGAAAGTTAATTTACCTAGCGCATACACAGCCCGATATTGCTTTTATTGTGAGTTTGGTAAGCCAGTTTATGCATTCACCCTACAAGAAACATCTTGAAGCAGTTTATCGAATTCTCAGATACTTGAAAAGTACACCAAGCAAGGGTTTACTCTTCTAGAAGACCACACAATAGAATATAGAGGCATACATTGATGCTGATTGGGCAGACTCAGTTATTGAAAGGAGATCCACGTCAGGATATTGTACTTATGTTTGGGGAAATCTGGTCATATGGCGAAGCAAAAAACAAAATGTGGTTGCAAGGAGCAATGCCGAGGCTAAATATAGGGCTGTGGCTAACGGAGTTTATGAGATACTATAGTTAAAGATAATTCTTGACGAGCTGCGGATGCCAATGAACATACCAACGAAGTTGTACTATGACAACAAAACTGCAATAAGTATTGCACAAAATCCAGTACAACATAATCCCATGAAGCATGTGGAGATTGACAGACACTTCATAAAAGAGAAGATTGATAGTGGAGTTGTTTGCATGCCTTTTGTTCCTACTACTCAACAAATACCCGATATCTTCACCAAAGGACTTTTCAGACCTAGTTTTGAGCTCTTTATAAGCAAGTTGGGCATGATAGATATCTACGCTCCAACTTGAAGGGGGGTGTCGGATTTCTAGGAAATAAATTAGGAAACTCTATTTTTGAAAATAAAATCTGAAATTACTATTTCAGATTTTAGTAGAATCTGTTTCTTGTTTTATAGCCTAGAGATTTGCTGATTTGATTTGCTAATTTTGTGGGCTTCCTGATTTGGTAGCCTTCCTCTACTATTTATCTTATAATCGTCTCTCTTGAAAGATAAGAAGACTGAATATTTTTCTTCTTGAAAAAAACCTTCATGTTACCTAAGAAAAAGATTGATAAAATAAAAGTTGCATAATAGTACAGCTACATATCACAAACAAGGTTGTAAACCACAAGCATTTATTGAAAATATTTTCATGAAGAAAGGAGTCTTTGAGTTGCTTGGATGCATAAATACCTCATCAAAAAGAAAATCTTTTGGATTATTAAGCCTATTTCTCTAAGTTCAGGGGCATAGAGAAATTTTTTTTAAGCTCAGGGACCTAGCAAAGGAATTAATTAAACATAGGATGTGCTATGGAACAAACACTATAATGTGGCTTGATTTTTGGTTTCCAAATGGACACTTGGTAAATCAAATAAGCGTTACTTATGTAGAAATTCATCAACTAGACTTATTTGTAGAAGTTAATAGCCAAATTTTTAATAATCAGTGGGTTGTTCCCCCTCCCTCAAATCAAAATCCATTCTCACAACCCCAATTTCATCCCTTACCTTCTTGAGAAAGAGATGGTGTCATTTGAACCCCATCTCTTACATATACTTTCTCATTTTCTCACACAATTTCATTCATTTCTCCTCCAGCCTCTTCTTACACATGGCCTCTACTTGTGTGGTTCAAATATCACGTCCCCAAGCATAGTTTTATTGCATGGTTTGCATTAAAAGTGAGACTAATGTAACGGGCTAGATGCTTTATGATCTGACCCAAAAGCTTAAACTATTAGGTGGGGCTAACACCCAACCCATATATGCCCAAGACCCTCCCTATCTGGATCGGATGTGGGACAAGTCCACCATAAAACATTCTCCCCCACTCGAACTCGCAACGCCCTCGTTGAAATCAGGCCACCCTACATACCTAGGTGGCTCACCTGGACCCCTTCGGGCAGGACGCTTGGTATGACGTTTGATCAAGGAATGGGTCTAGCTCTAATAGCAACTATAACAGGTTGAGTGCTTCGCGATCCGATCCAAAAAACTTAAGTTGTTAGGTGGGGCTAACACCCGAGCCATATATGCCCAAGGCCTCCCCATCTTGATGCTATGTGGGACAAGTTCACCTTGTAACACTAAGCACACTAAACAGTTCTTAATGTATGACAGAAGTAACCTCAAATAGTTGAAATAAATAAGAGTTTATTAGCTCAAAATTCAAATAAGCAGGGTTGTGGTTCAAGATGAGTTAGGAGAGAGAAATGATTTGAAAATAACAAAAACCTATTAGAATCATATCAACAGGTTGTCACAGGTCACCCCGCCCCGTTTATATAGAGAATTTACCATTTTAACCTTTATATATATAAATATGCCTTAAAAACACTAATCTTCCCATTATACAAATCATTGGAGGAATGTTGTCCTGGAAACATTCGTCCATGCAATTTATGCCACACCTTTCTTCAAATCTAAACCTGAGGCAAAAAAAACTTTGAGAATAAAGTTTATTTCAATGATAACTTTTTTAGGGACGATGAAATGGCTTGACCCTAATTGTTAAATACTACAAAGAATAGCTTTGATTAGCCGCAACCTACCTGCATATGATAACTTCATACTTGTCCAATGTTGTATCCTTTTAGAGATTGTGTTAAACATAACCCTATAATCAGTGGCCTTGAGACAAGTAGATGTTAGTGTGTCCAACTCGGATAGAGATCGACTTTCTCAATTCCTAGGACATTAAGAATACAAGTTTAAGTATGTGAGTCAGTGTTTAAGAAGAACACTGAACTCTTTGATTACGTGAGTATCACAAAGGCAACCACTTTGTTAAAAGTTGTACAAGTAGAACATATCTACAACTCAATACTAGATCCGTCCTTGTCAAAGGAAGCTTTGGAAGCCTTTAAAGGAAACTAGTTGAATGTTTAAACAATATTCTCTATAATCAATCCAGAGGTAATTAGAAAATTAATAAAAACTTACATAATTAAAGGGAACTTATTAATTGTTTCATTTTCTCATCAACTGATCAACCCGTCAAGCAAATGTGAACAAGCCTACTAAAACTCAAGCTTAAGTTGAAAGATAAAATATGCTAAGTTTCAAGACTTTCAAGCAACTAATTTCAAATCAGGTCACCTCATTTAAGCTCCTACATTCAACTAGTCAATTGCAAGATGTCTGAGCATCTTAAATGGAATTCCTATACCCAAATTGGAACAAATTTATTATCTTGTTCAATGGACACAAAACTTTTATGTAATTTGTTTTAATTGTATGTACTTCAGCTCTGAAAAAATAGTCATTTCAAGTTACTATGTTAATAATTCAAGTTCTAACTTTTTCTATTCTTTTCTTTTTTTGATAAAATAAGTCAGAATTGTAAGTTTGTACTACTTTGTCAACATGTAATATGTACCTGGGCAATCTAACAATCTTTATAGCATATTAAAGTTAATGACAATTTGAGAGGGACAATAAAAAATAAAAAATAAAATAAAAAAAATTACCAAAAACCTAGTTGGATGCTCATAAAAGAGAGTGACTAAGATGATCCCACAATGGAAGACTGAGCAACAAATACATGGTAGAACATACAATCACCAGAGCATGGTTTCACACAAATACCTCTTGCATCACCATGGAAAGTTAGGCATGAATGAACTGGTGCAAACCTAGCAAAATAGTGCATAGCCTGCATAAGAATATTGCAAAAACAAAATAAAATAAAATAAAAAATTAATTAATTAATTCAATTGTTAGATATAATGCTCACAAATGTGTCCACAAGAAAATTGTCAAACATACCATCGGGCCAGTGGCCTAGCGCTATCAAGCCCTTACTTCCCAAAGGGAGGTTAGGGGTTCAAGTCTCAATAAAGACGTGTGTGTGAGTATCAACTAAGAAAAAAAAAAAAAATGTCTAACATGTCAAAGACAGTACCTTACAATCATGAATTATTGTAGCAAAATTTTTGTCTAAAGTAGTAAGTTAACCATGAGAGCTGAAAAGCATGGTATCAAGCCATTCCGTTATGAATAAAAAGAAGACACATGAAGAAACAAAAGATCATCTATCTATACATATATCCCAAAAAAAAGTTGTAATTCCAAATTTTCTTTCTTGATCACTTCCCATCTTCATGGAAAGCAAAAGAAGCTTTCTTAAATTTTTTAACATCAGATAATTTTAGACTGCTTAATATGTTATATTACTAGCTTAAAACAGAAATTAACCTTCTCCATCTCTATATAGCAAGATACAATAGTCCATGATTCTTTACAAATTAAGACACTTTAATATGCCCAACAGCTGGTGCAAGAAAAAAACGTATGGTTTCAATTAGCTTCTTCATCTCAATTAAATATCAAAATTATATTTGAGAGATGATTGTCAAAACAAAATTTAAATCGCTGCTTGACAGACTTGCTCTCCCTCCTTGGAATAACTAAAATAATCAGTCTTGCAGTTAGAACTTGTAGTTGTCCGACAAGAGCCCATAGCATAGATACTATATCCTTTTAGTTAAGTGTCACAGTATTATAAAAGAAAGAGAACTGTACAAACATCTAGACTGTGTAGGAAAAGTGACACCAATCGTGTTTACAAATAACCTTGCAAGCTAAGTATCCTAAGCAAATACAATGGAGCATAAGAAGACAATATACACAACGTACAAACTAGTGTCCAAAGCAAACACTAATGTCACATAAATTAATTTATTATAACCATCCTAGCATATGCCTAAATGCCATCGATATGAGTGCCTAAGTGTGGTAGTTTATATGTTTAAATAGCATGAAAATGTAAATTTCTACTGTTTGTAGAAAAATCGACAACAGTATGCTTCTAAAAAAAACCCAAGCTTGTCTTGAGCTCCAGTCCAAGTGCATCAGCCAGTAACTGTTCATTTCTTGTTTGCATGCACCAACTGAAATTCAATGTGGTTAATTGACAAGAAGTGCACAATAGACTATTTATCGAGATTGGAAAATTTAAAAAATAATAATAACAATAATAATAATAATAATAATAATCCAATGTGACAAGATTCACATAATGTCTGCGCTAAGATATCAAACATATTATAGGGCATAAAAAATAAAATATTTATAAATGCACAAACAGTATGTCAGCTTTACCAACCTACATTACTTGAACAAATACTACAGAGAAAATCTCATCCAGTGCTTACATAACTCACCCACAAATGGATTCACTTGCACAGAAAGTCCTAAATAGTATAGTCAGAAACAAAGGCCTAATTTGTCAAAAGTGGATGACATAACTCTATAATTTCAGCATCATTGGTCATTTGCATATATTAATATACTGGTCAATTTTTCTACGCAATAGCTAATTAGGTCTTTGATTTTGATACTAATCATACTACCATTTTATTTTTCATATCAAATCCACACAATATAACAATGTCAGAAGTGAATACAGCAAGTGAGACCAGCAAATAATTAGCCGAAATGATCTTATGAAACAGTAAGCAACAGATTCCCATAGTAAATTGAGCATTGATTGGACTGCTAATGCTAAGCAACAAAGGCTGTTAAAACAATTGCAAATTGATCGGTTCGTTTGACCAATTTGAATCCAGAACGGAAGACAATATTACAAATCATTTTAACAGAAAAAAAAATCCATATATACCTGCTTTTAAATTATTTGGAAGATCATCCTCCTTAATATAGAACTTGAAATTAAATTCCTTCATAAATCCATGCTGACCTGCAAAAACTCGAGGAACAAGACGGAAATAAAAGCCAAAATGTCCTCTATTTCTAATATAACATCATCACCTAACACCAAGAGGGTAACAAGCGAATATTAACACACCCTTTTTATAATTACCTCAAAATCAGAAATCCAAACAAAATAAATAAATAAATAGAAAATAAAGCATGATCATAGGAAAACCCATTTGCAGAAAGAGTGTTACAAAACAAAGATTCAAGCACTTGAAGCAAAACCCATATGAACCGAGAGCTATTTGAATCAAAACCCATTTAAACTGAGAGCAAAAGCAACAAAATTCTAGTGAAAAGCAAAATCATAAAAAGTACCCCTTTGGAATGAGAGTTCAAGCTCTATCAGATTATGGCTTAATTCAGGTGAAAAACAAACTCCAATTAAATCGATTATCGTGTAGACATAGCATGCGTAAGATGAAAAAAAAATGTAAGAAACTGAAAAAAGGAGAGAAAAACAAGAGAGATGCTTTGGGACCATCCTATAGATATAGGACCTATAGCTAGGTAGATAAGTTATATAGCTATATATATATATCTAAAGGGTCAGTGATAATAATGATCTCATAATAATACATGTTTTCCGTTAATTTAGCACAGTAATTAGGGTTACCTTCTCAAAGAAAGCCATCAAAAGTAATATAATTAAATATATATAATTAAATAATCAAATTTAAACATGTAATACAATTAAATATATGAGATTTAAACATGTAATACAAGAGTAAATCGACAAATAGAGCCAATTATATCACACTCAGGTGCTGCTTCAACTACCACGCCCACAGGCCCAAAAATGGAGTATCATTCGGAACAGAAAAAAATAGAAAGGGATGTATAGAGAGAGAAAGTACTTGAGAGTGGATCGAATTTGGGCACTGAAAGCTGACAGAAAGAGAGGTGAGCACGCAAAAGCAATGGTATGGACTCATACAATCTGCCTCCATGTGCTCACTCTCTTCTGTCAGTTCTCAACAAGTCCCAAAACAACAAGAGAAATTCATAACAAAAATTGGGTCAAAAGGAATAAAAGATTTTCTTCCCAAAAATGGTAGGAAACAACCCCATTAAAATCATAAAAAATGTGTACCACAGAGAAAAATGAGTCAGATCTGAGTAAACCGTTACACCCATTTAAGGAAAGGCTTCAAATCTACCACTTTTCATCACCATTTAGGGTTTGCTCAGAACAAGAAAAGCAAACCCAAATAGCCAAAAATGAAAAAATAAATACACAACAAATACTCTCTCTATATATCTCTCTATCTCTTTCTCTTCCAGTCCATTCTCTCCTCTCTCTCTCCCACATGCAGGACAAACAGGTGTCGGTGACACTGCACTGACTTTACCTGGACAGATCAAACAGTGCGGACGGCGACCTCAGAGCAATTATAGAGAGAGAAAGTTCTAGAGAGGGAAAGAGAAGGGGGAGAGGGGAGGGGGGTGGTGTGGTGTGTGTGTGCTTGTGTGTGTGATGAGGGGGTATTGTTATTAGCAGGAAGGCCAAAAAAAGATTGCACGGAGCTTTTCGAGAAAAAACGGAAGGCGTACGAGTGGGGATTAGTGGAATTTGAGGTGTTGTGCTACGTGTTGGTATACGTGAGCCTGGTGGAGGTGTGATTGATTCCTGACCGTTGGATCTGTGATTCATGTCTAGTCGTTTTTCCGCCGTTAGATTGCCATGATTGTCTGAGTCCACTTGCTGTCTCAGATTGGAAATTGTGCTGATGGGACTGCGTCAATTGGGGAGACAGGTTAATGTGGGGTTCGGATAGTGTACCACCGGTTTTCCCACCATGTATTACAACCGTCAGACCTGCAACTGATCAATAGAATTTACCAACATGAATTTATAAATTGAAGACAAACATTTTAATGAATATGAATTTATACGGTGCCACGAAACAATTTTTTTTTTCCTTTACAATAAATTCATACACCATTTATTTTTAAGGATCATTAAACATTTTGATAATGCATATTTTTGTGATAAATATACATATTTTTCTTTGTTATATGGAGCCGTAAGCATTTTTTTTTTTTTTTATTTTTATCACTCAAAATAAAAATAATAATAATAAAATTGGAGGGATCCGTGCCATCAAGTGACACGCGAGCGCTGAGTATTTCTAGAGTCTTCAACATTTAGGTGGAGTCTCATTAGTATAGAAAAAGTTGTAAGATTCTAAAATATTGATGAAGGTTGTTGATATTTATGGTGTTTAAAATTTTTAAAAGATTAAGAAGTTAAGCATTGTTAAATATCTCAATAGGACTTCATAGGATGCTTATATATAAGTTGAGAATTTCATTCGTAACAACAACCTTTCATATCAGAAAACTGTATTGTCTTTTAATAATAATAGAAGTGTATCATATTTCATAATATATATATATATATATATATATATATATATATATATTATTTTAAAAAAAAAACATTAAAACAACGAATAGAATGAAAATTCGAAACTGGGTCATCGGCCTGAGAATCACATGCCTCAACTCATCACACCCGTATTTAAAGTGTATTATTTTTTTCTGTGCCATGTAGAATGATGATGATTCAGAATGAGCGCTGCCGTATGGGAATGCTGCACGTGAAACAGGCATATGATTCTGAATGAGTTTGCCCGTACACGAGTGCTGCCCGTGACAAAGCACGCCTGCCCGTGACATAGCATTATTGAGACGCTCACTATCTCCAAATTTATCCATATAAAATTACCAATATACCTACGCATAGTGCTTCAAATTCCTAACGTGTTCGTACTATCAACTTTCTAGTGTAGTACCGGTTTTGTTGGAGCGATATCACGCGCTTAAAGGCGTGTAACGACCAACTTTTTAGTGTAGCGTAATACCAGTTTTCTAGAAGCACGTTATCACGCGCTTAAACGCGCGTAACAACCAACTTTCTAGCGTATTATTAGTTTTCTGAGAGTACAATATCAGCGTATTACCAGTTTTCTAGTTTTTTGAGAGTACAATATCACGCGCTTAAACACGCGCAACGACCAACTTTATAGCGTACTACCAGTTTTCTAGGAGCGCAAGACTTACCTTTTATTACTTTAATAATAAATATTGAGAAGACTTAAAACTGCAACTAAGCGTGCAGATATGATATTTAGTCACACTGATTCGCACTTTTTTTTTGTTGCCATTGAACTTTTTAAGGAGGATATGCAATTAATTGTCATTGGCCCTTTTTTAAAAATTATTAATTTATTTTTTAAACTTTAAATATATAAAACTCATGTTAAAATATTTTTGAAAAGAATAATTACATAAATGTTGCATTTAATTTGTTTGGCTTTTCAAAATTGATAACTAATTTAGAATACCAAAAATGAAAAAATTAAAAACTACTATAAGATAAAGGGAAAAATAAAATGCTCATCAATTTTCATAGAATAATTAGTATCATTTTATTTCTATGAAATTACTAATTGTCCTGTCGATAAAGTAATATAGTTAAATTGCTCATCAATTTTTTATGAAATAAGTGTTCTTTTATTTGTATGAAATTACTAATTGGTAGCATATAGGTTGAAAAGACCATGACAGTAAAGAATGCTTTAGTGAATCTTAGCATACTGTTGATAATCATTTCTCAAGCAATCTAAACTTCCAGCTTGTGTTGCTCCTGTTTTGGACGTGTAAAAAATTGTTTGGCAGGCCATGTTTTCTCTTCTAAAAAAATACCCAACTATTGTGAGAATTTAGGCAAGAGAAGTACCCTCTCTCTCGTCATCATCCAAGATATAGGGTTGGGCTTACATATCAAAAATTATTAAAAGGTTTTAAACCATTTGATATGTGGTGGATTAGTTCAATTCAGATTGTTAAGATTTCTTTTTAATATATTAATACATTTTTGTGAGGTCATTTTTTTAATTGGAGAACCTAAATTGAATTGGTCTACCAAGTGTCAATGAACTAAGACCAATAAATATTGGATGCGTCATCATTAATATACCCATCCAATAAAATATAATAAATTATCTCGTTATCAACAATTTTATAAGTAAGTGGGTCAATTTTTTTTTTTTTTAAATAACACATTATCATTAATGAGTGCTTGCACTCAATATCTACCCCGCATAAAAATGGCCTTTACGATGTAAATAAAGTTTACATTCGTTATTAATTTGTTCTAATGCAACTCCGAATCATAAAACATATTTATTAGAAAAATATTGAGTTATTTCTTTTATTTGGTAATTATTTTTAGTCTTTTTACTTAAGTAATTAAATATGATTTTGATAATATTATGTACTAATATATTACAGTATTTCTTTTCCTTTTGTGTTTATAGTCCTTATGTTTTTAATACGATGATTGGTGCTCCTGTTTTTATTTCTTTTAAACAACTAGATAACATATCCTATTAGGGTCCGTTTGGCAATTATATGTTTGGTAAAATTTGCTATCATTTGATTAGTACCGAAGCGTTTTTGAAAAAAGAGGTCAAAATCATAATCATAAAAATGATGCTTTAGGTTGCTTTTGCATCTCAAAAAAATAAATAAATAAATTGTAAAATGATATTTTTAATTAGCTATTTAATTTTTCAAACTTGCAACATTTTTTACCAATACATGCTATCATAATATTTTTTATTTTCAAAAAATTTTACAACAAATTTGTGTTACCAAACTAACTTTAAAATAGTGTTAAACACACGCTAAAGCAAAACAATGCTTCTATTTCATGTCAAAGCAAAAACACAAATTAAGCAAAAGCGATTACCAAACGGACCTTAAATAAGTTGTTCTTTTTCTTAGACTAAATATTTATGCCCAGTCAAGAAACATGTATGCATGGGTAAAGTGAGCTCAGCAAAAATGCAAGTGTTGAGATGGATATCTGGCAAAACAAAAGGGATAGAATTAGAATTGAACTAGTTTTGAAATGGTTGAAGTAAATCCAATTAGACATAAAATGAAATATATGTATATATATATTGAGAATGGCGCAGACATTACAAAGAAGACCGTTAATCGTGTCAATTAGGAATAGTAACATAGTCAATATTGAGGGTAATTTTAGAGCAAGTACAAGAATCAAAGTTGTTTTTTTTTTTTTTTTTTTTTTTTTTTTTTTTTTTAATGAAGGATATGATAACATGGACTTGCATTAATTGTGTGGTGCTTGTACCATGCCGCGCCTTCATTGTCATAATAAATACCTCATCTGTCCCATATAAAATATCCCTTCTTATGAATCTAACGTTTTAAGTGTGTAATTTTTAATTTTTTTTTATTATAATGGTAGGAAAGAAATTTTCAAATATATCCTTTTATGATGGGTCCAGATATTATAATTGCTTTTATAATTTTAAGATAAGAAGAGTAAATTAAGAATATTAAAAAATATTACATTAAATTTTAAATTGGGACAATTATTTTGAAACAACAAAAAATAAAAAGATAGACATTTTTTATTATTTACCACTCCACATCCATAGTAATCAACTATCCTCACACTGTGTTTTTCACTCAATTTTTTAAACTACCCAACTATATATTCTTGTCTCCAATAATATTATTTTTGGTCCAAAAGAAAGTAATCGGTTCTCTCTCATTTCTTCACTCTCTGTCACCCCAGCCCCCTCTTGTTTTTGTAAATGTATTACTCCCTTCGTCCCAAAATTGTCCCAAAGTATTCAATTATTTTGCGACAGAGCGAGTAAATAAAAAATATTATTTAAAAAAAAATCTCCATTATTTATCTTACTATTCTTTAGAATTGCCCTCAACTAATTTTTCATGTTTTAAAAAATTTTGTCAGCTAAAAATAGTACCAAGCATTGTAGCTCATCGGTATCTCATTTTACTTTTGAAAGTGGAAGGTTGAATGTTCAAGTTGGCAAAATGTGTAGGTAGGTTTTTTTTAAAATAAAAAATAAAATAATTAATACCACTAAATTTGTATTTCTCAATTTATATTGTGGTATTTGTTAGAGGTTCTTGTCCCATATCAAATTTCAAATGGAAAGAATATTGAGTATATGAATGGGTACGTAACATTACTCAAAAACTTAACATTTTGAATCGATCAAGGACTGGATACTAGTGGTAAAGCCAACTATCTATTTCCATTTCTCAAAATAAATGTCTAATTTTCTTTTGGGATATTTCATTTTTTTCCATTTTGTAATATTTTAGGACATTATATCTGCATTCTCTAAAAAAGATGAGAGATCTTAAAAAGAACGTAATGTCTCACTATTCAACGTACTCTTTTTTATAGAGTGTGAATTTAGTACCGAACATCTACAATCACTTAAATGTGACAATCACACGTTTAAATGTGAGTTATCTAAAAGAAAAAATAAAAAAATAAATTGAATTTAAAAAATATATATTTGCTGGTGGCACATGCAATACTATTCGATATATCACTATTCAACGTCTCTTTTATAGAGTCTGAATTTAGTATTCAGCTGCTACAATCACTTACAAGTGTAACACAACATCATACCTTGTCTCAGAATCTAG